AAACACCAACTCGACTTGATTTGAACTCGACTCGGCTTATCTGACTCGTGAGTTAACTCGACTCGTCCGGAACTCTATTAACAGGTTTGATACTATTTATATCTAATATTTTATATTGATTAGGATTAATATTCATGTAGAAATAATTTTTTTTGTAATTTTATTAAATAAGTCACACTTTTTTGACGTCATAAGAAAATTTAAGCACTTTGATCAAAGCTAATCACTTTTATTTCTAAGTGAAAGTTATTTAGCAGATATAATACTATTTATATATAAAATTTAATTATAATTGGATTAATATTCATGTTATAATATATGTTTTTGTAACTTTATTAATAGCACAGCCCTTTTTTTTTAATTTTACAGGATAATTTGAGCACTTTAGTCAAAGTCAATCACCTTTTATCTTTAAGTAAAACTTGTTTAGCAGGTTTAATACTATTTATATCTAATTTTTTTTATCTTGATTGTATTAATATTTGTGTAGAAATAATTTTTTTTGTAATTATATTAAATAAGTCACACTTTTATGACTTCACAAGAAAATTTAAGCACTTTGGTTAAAGTCAACTACCCCCTACTTCCAAGTGAAAGCTATTCAGCAGATGCAATACTATTTAATATAAAATTTAATCTTGATTGGATTAATATTCGTATTTTAATATGTTTTTATAACTTTATTAATAGCGCAAACCTTTATTTTTAATTTCACAAAATAATTTGATTACTTTAGTTAAAGTAAACTGCTTATTGCATATTAAGTAAAAATGTTCTATATATCTGAAATTACTTATATATAAATTTTATCTCAAGTAGTTTAATATTTGTTGGGTAATAGCTTTTTGTAACTGTATTAATTCTCAAATTTTTTTGTTTTTTTTTAAATATTTATTTGTGTAATTTATTAAATACTGTATCAATATAAATATATATTGCAAAATTACCATACTTTATAAAAAAATGTATCAAATAAAAGTATTTAAAAGTTATTATTTTATTTTATTATAATTAAATTTCTTTAAATAAATTAAAAAAAATTTTTTTTATTGATTTTTATTGTATTTTTAAGATTACATAAAACAGTAATTTATATAATAATTAAATATTACAATTACAGTTTTTCATGTAGAATTTTATTCTTTTTTAAATAGTACTTTTTAATTATAATAATTAATAATAAATTTAAAAACTTTTATTAAGAGTAAGTTTACTTTGAATTTCATAAAAGTTTGAAAAAAAAATACTTTATTCTTCCACCCTTTCACCTATTCGTTATAATTCTTGCTTTATGCTTTTTGATTATTTATGTATTTTTGTAAATTATCTAATTATATGATTAATTTATATTATACCTGATTATCTAAAAATAGCTATTATCATTATCAATATTTTATTTATTTTTTTTTTGTTTATTATATTTTAACTTTTTTTGTAACATGAGTAAATCAAAGAAAGAGTATAATAAAAACTAACAAAAATAACAACTTTGCTCCTACCCTAGAACTCTAGAGTAACAATTAAGTAAAAGATACAATACTTTACAAACTACTGAACCTGAAAGTAGTGTCTTCACTGCTAAACCTAACGATGAAACACCAGTTATTATAAATATCGATCCTTTTTTGCTTAACAAAGGAAAGGGCAAAGAAGTTTTCACAAGTGAAATAAACTCAGTCAGCACTTCTGACCATATTGTGATAAATATTAATAATACTAATAATACTTCTGAAAATTTCTTGAACAACAGGAAAAGTTCTCAAGAAATTTCCACCAAAAAAATGAATTTTTTTGCATATTTTCTGGCTAATGACTACCCTGAAAAATCCTCTTTAACAAAAATCTCTGATGTTACTAACCTTGTTTTGACTAATTTAACTCATTTTTAGGTGTTGTATTTGCCAAACACCTAGAGGACCAATCAAAAAAAATTTTAAAAGTGACATTTTCTAATAAAGATGAAAGAGACACATTTTGTAAATTTAATTTGCCTAATTTAGACAAACACATATTTTTACCCCTAATATCATGCTAAAATACCTATTTGATTTACAATAATCAATTAAAGTTATTGAGATACTATTAGATGTTACAGAAATCTGAATTAAAAAAATCTTTTTCTGTTTCAGAAAAATCATTTGATTTAATATGAAAACTAAAAATCTCTGATAACAAGCAATGATTACTTATGATACAGACGCTAATTTTATTGAATTCAAGAAAAGTCATAAAGTTTTTCTTCTTAATAATATAGTTTAATTTTATATTGATCTGTTATATGACAAAATCTTAGAACGCTTAAAATTCTCAGCCAAACTTATATGCCTTTTGCGTTTTATTACGAGTAAAGATTTATCTGAACTTAGTTTAATAGTTAATGCTATAGCTTTGATTATTTCTAAATTCAGATCGAATTATCACAATCTACAATACACATTCTTCTACTTTTTCTTAGCTAATGATTATGAAGTGGTGATCAGTAATAATAACTTCACTATCAATGGTAAATATATAAAATGAACTGAGATCAAAGTACGATTATGTGTAATTTATTCTTCATCACATAATAAGATCAAAGATTATTCAAAAAAGTATCACATATTTCAGAACTGCAGCATCCAAACCTATATCAAAAATTTTAACCTGCACAATATAATAACTATAAAGCATCAGTTCATTCTCGTAAAGATGCAATTAATCTAAATATTACTTTTGTTAACATTATTACAGATGGTTTACAAGACAAGTTAAAACAGATCATTAAATCTCAGATACCAAGATCACTCTAATAAATACTCAAAGTAATTCTCTAAAACAATTCAGTAACCTAAGCATATTATGAAGTGATAACGTCTTACTAAATATAAAATAATATAATAAACAGTCATAGTGTCAACAAATTAATTCACATGATATCTCTGTAGGAATGAAAGCAGAAAACTCTATATATGAAAAAGACATAGATACTGACTTCAAAGATTTCATCAAAGTAAGCTTCTTACAACTTATCCAAAAACTCAATGATCTTACAGTCACACTCAATTTTATTATAAAAAGAATGAAAACAATTAAACAAATGCTAAACATCAAAGTCAGTTACCCTGATGAAAAAACCATAGAAGACTATGATATTAAATAATATGGTAACAGTCCAGTCATCAATATCTCCATCTTAGTAATTAACAAACAAAGACAAATAATTGCAGCCTCAAAGAAATCACAGACGTCTAAACCTGTATTTCAAAAACTTTACAGAAATGGTCAACACTTTGGTCAGCATCTGTAATACATTCTGCGCAGTTCTCATTCACAATAACTTGCTTCAAATAGACAAGACACTAATCTCATATACTTTTAACACTACTTACAATACGGAAGCAGACAAGGCACTTAAGAGCCTCTCCTAATTTTAATTATTTAATTATAATTACTGTCTTTACAGATATTAACAGCAATTTTATATTCACATCCAATAACTACTCCAATGTGACACTTTTTGATATTCTAAAGCTATCCTTTGCAATCTATAATATTTGATCTTTTACTAACATTACTAAGCAACATTATCTTTTCTCCTTATATTTTTCATATAATATAGATGTTATTGGTCTCTAAGAAACAAACTTCAAACTACAAAATGAGAAAATATTTAACCTTTCACATCTATCATACATATTCTTTTTTAGCTTAATATCTAATCAACAAATAGCTTTTGGCGTGACCTAATACTCTGAAGAATTATCACTTACCACATTTTTAAACACGAAATAAAACTAGACAGAATCATTCATATTGATCTACAATTTATTAACAAACAAAAGCTTTGCATTATCAATTATTATCTATCACTTGCAGATCTAAAAATCAGAAATGATATACAACAGATTTTAACAAGTTGGATTAGAAAAATTTCAAATAAAAACTGGCATGTGATCATTTTAGAAGATTTTAATACTAATATGAATAGGCAATATAATCTAATAAACACTCTAAAATATTTTAATGTATTATATAGAATATCCTTCTTTGACTCTTTTACCCTTAAATATAATTACGTAAGAACTAAATTTTCTACATATAACCTACATTATATCTCTTCAAGAATTGATTTTATATGAACATCAGCTAAATTATCTATAAATATTTTAAATTGTCTCATTGTCTTACTTAATGCTGATATATCAGACTATCTCCTAGTTATTACCTACATCACAAATTTTTTAGATATTAAGTTTAATAAAAAGAAAATACCAAAAAAAAATTAGCTTTAACTTTGCCAAAATGGATGACATTAGGTGGAGCAAATTTGAGTATAAATTTGATGCTCTTCTGAATAGAAGCTTCATTAAAATAATCAATTCAGATACCTTTTAGACGTAATCTCTACTCAATAAACATTAGGACTAGTTTCAAGATCTTATGATCAATACTGCTGAAAAAGTATTTTCATTTAGGAAATCAACAGGTTAATTCAAGTATTCTAGGCCCTCATTGCTCTCAAAACTATACACATAATAGAGACACCTCTACAAATTTTATAGATTATTACTCAAAGTTAAATATGAGGCATGTTGCAACAAAATCAGATAAAATGAACATTGGTATTACCAAAAATTTTAGAGTTCAAAATTTAGTTATTATTATTATCATCACAATTAGTTTTATAATGATCCATTTGTTAATATTAAGTGATATACATGTAGAATTTTCCTTATATAAAAACAATGATATAAAATTTATTTATATCAGATCTATTATGAAACCCAAAAATTATAGCACCATTAGAAGTATTTTAAAGAAAGAATAAAGTGAAAGAATTGCTTCTTACATTTTCAAAATAAATGATACTCGGATACTGGAAGCTTATCTAAAAAAAGAAAGGATTACTTATAAAATTTACCAAGAAAAAAGAAAAATAATAAATGTTGGAAAAAGAAAGCATTATGGTGATGTATTATTACCTAATAAAAAATAAAATTTCTTAAAAGAAAAATAATAAGAACAAATTTATTATCTATTTTATCTTTTTTTTTTTAGTATTTTCTCAATGAATAATTAGATTTCTAAAATCAATACTAATGTTCTACTAACTATGATTTAAAGAATTCTCTTTTATAATTAAACACTTTTTTTTTTTTTTTTTTGTAAAACTTCTTATAGAAAGTTAGTTTAAATAAATAAAAAATCATGACCAAAAAAGAATGTTTTAATGTCACAATATAAAAGAAGGTTTAGAAATTAATTGATAGGATAAAGAAGATAGAGTATATAAAGAATTTTGTTATTGAGAGAGTGTAAAAAATATGGTTTAATAAGAACTAAATAAATGTGCAAATTGAAAAAGAAACAAAAAAAAATCTTTAGAGAAACCTTACAAAAGGCTAAAAATAAAGAAAATTTTGATTGACCTTTTAGGTACAGAGTTATTAACTAAAAAGGGAATGGAAGATGAAACAGAATTACCATATATTATAATCAGTGTTAGACTGAGATATTACTGCTTATGAAGATAGTAGAGAATATAAATGTTCTCAATATCATAATTGCCAAGAAAATATTAAAAGAGGTGAATAAAATAAGCATTTTTCTTGAAAAGATGATAATACTTCCAGTTATATTTATCCCAAAAGTATAGCAAAGGGTGAAATAATTTGTCATATGTGTGACAAAATGGTAATACATAAAAAAGGAATGCTTAAAACTTGAATTTCTGATTTTGGAGACACCATAACCTCTGGAGTAGTTTTAAGACAAAATTCTAAAGGCCATATAGCATTTTATACCAAATGTCATATTGAAAACTTTAAAGAGATAACTAGAGAAAAATGAGCAGATATTTTATCAATACTTAAAGATACAATTAATAAAATTAATAAAGCATATAATCCAATATGCTATAAAGTAACTGTACTAATAGGACCACTTACTTCCTAAATCTACCCCATTTTTATATACGAATTGTTCTTAAATATAAAGAAGCTTATAGAAGCAGGGAAATTAAAGGAGTATTATGAAAAGCTTTTTCTCAAGAGGGTACTAAACAAGCAAATACAATCTTTCAACCAACAGAAAATAATATTATTGCAGAAAAGAATAAAGTATCTGTAAGATTACATAATGAAATAGGAGGTATAGTTATTTTCATCAAAAATCATTTACTTAATGATATTAATGTTGTAAATCAAGAAACTTGAAATCAAATTGGTGAAGTTTGTAGAACTTATACAAAAAATGGCATCTATTGAAAATTATACTACTGATACCATAATAAGATGAGAAATTAACCAAAAAGTTGCAAAAGTTTTGATAAAAGAATCAGAAATGCCTTCAAGTTATAGCAAAAATTATCCTTTATTTGAATTTTTAGTATGATTTAGATTAGCATAAGGGAGTTTTGTATGATTGGCTACTAAACATTGCCTTAATTTTTGTAAAATTTACTGTGATTAATGAAATTTGTTGCTGATCATCACTAAAATTATAAAAACACATGATTTCTTTTTTAAATGTAATGTAAAATTTTTAAAAAATGCTGTGTTTACCAAATTGTGGACCTTGTAAAATAAATAATTATAATAAAAATGTTGTCAAATTTTGTATTTTTACTAAACTTGCATATGAAAAAGCTAAAATAAAAGGAACATTTATTATATATAACTATTTAAAAGTTAGTGATCAACTTTGTCAAATGAATTATAATAATATTGTTGAACCAAACTGAAATAAATATTCAAGTTTACCTTTAAATAATTTGTCAGTTTATAATAACAATATAAACACTGAAGTAGAAAGTAATCAAGGTAATTATAATATAATTTATTTTTTAGAATTTCTTTTATTATAAAAGTATTATTCTAAGTATATATATATTAATTTATTAATATTTTATTAGATTTTATTTTTGGAGAACAAT